GAGTTCGTTCTCGTTTTAGACAGTTACAAATTGTATAAAGTTCTTTCTTACTCTGAGTTGAAATTCTTATCCCATCACTCCTATCTCACCTATCCTGGTTCTGTCCTTTGGAGAAATACAAAACAAGTCTCCTCCATCTTCTTCCTGTGAGCATTTAAAGACAACTTTTATGTCTTTATTTTTCCCATCTCCTTATTAAATATGATCAATTCCTTCATTATATGACATGGTTCTCAGGTGCTGCAAATAAACTGGAGCTGTAGTTTGACTTAAAATTTATCCTGTATGCCCTGGCTGAGTGGCTCAGTTGGTAGGAGCATCATCCCATACACCAAAAGGTCAAGGGCACATACCTCAGTTGTGGGTTTAATCCCCAGCCCCAATCCAGGAGAAAGCAGGAGGCAATGGATAGATGTTCCTCTCTCACACCGATGTTTCTCCCTCCCTCTTCCTCTCTCTAAAATCTTTTTTTTTTTTTAATAATGTGTCCTAAATAGAATGCAAAGAAGAGAGCTGAAGATTTATTTATTTCTCCTTCATTTACACCTATAATTGACACAATTGGAAGGATTGTCTAGAAGTTTAGAACCCAATGGCCCACCCAGAAGCCATGTCTATGCTAGCTGCCCTTCTTGTAATCACCCGCACACATACTCACACACACCACCTCTGATACAAGGTGGATCAGAGGACCTTACCCCCCTGGCCACAAGAATAGTCACAAGTTCCTACTGGGACTAATCAGAGTCATTCCCCAAGATTCCAAGCTGGAACTCAGACAAGACCTGCTTCCCTCTCTGCTTGTGGAGGTATTAGATATGACAGCCATTTACCCATATCATGAAATAAGCCAATTTGACAAAATGAGGTCCATATGCAAAAGAGTGTGGGGAAAAAGACCCCAAATCTCCAGTTCCAGTCATTCTTGAAACCAACTCTACCCCTACCTTTCCTATGGTCTGGTTTAAGCCAATAATTCCCCTCTGATTGAACTGAACTTGAGTTAGGTTTGTACCATTTGCAGCACAGAGGGTCCTGTCTAATACAATATCCACGAGGTTCTAATACTCTAGGACCAACAGAATGCAGTTCATAAAAGAGAACAACTGCCATCCTACCCTACAAAAGGTTGGTATGGAATCTCTTTCTAGCATTAAGAATGAGAGTGATACTCACTTACCAAAAAAGATCAAGATCTATTTTCCTAAGAGCCTAAGCTCATAGAGCTGACATTGTTTGTCCAAAACTGAATTCCTAGAACTATCATAGTGTCTAGCACACAATAGGTGCGTAAGACACTCTTCCCTCTACTTTTCATAGTAAACAGTAGGCAAAACATTGAATATAACTCACTAAAATGAAGACATGAGTGTCCTAGGAAAAAACATATCATTTCACCTCCTTAAGATTAGATTACCCAATCGCCATATAAATGGTGGACTACATTATCTCTTCAGTCTTTTTTAGCCAAAAAAATGATATAATTCTATCCATACTCAACAACTCTAAAGAACNGGTGGACTACATTATCTCTTCAGTCTTTTTTAGCCAAAAAAATGATATAAATGATATAATTCTATCCATACTCAACAACTCTAAAGAACAGTCTTCAAAAAACCTAAGTATGCTTAGGGAGGAAACATACCGTAACAAAGAAGTACGTAATTGGAGAAAAAGCAAAAGAAAATAATGGCAAGCAATCATCAGTGATATGATAAAAAGAGGTCATAAGATGTGCCACCTTCCTATTAGCTTCCCATCCTATTAGCTAACCAGTTTCTGTGGTCAGCAATGCTCTCTGTGCTGGATCCAAACTGCCAGCCACCAGGCCTTTCTCCTTCCTAGATCTTATAATCCATGTGATGGCTCCTTCAACTCCCTTTAGAGTTGCTTCCCACTTCTCACCTCCTCCCACCATGCCAGACAGTGTTTCTTGTCACCAATAGAAGATATACCCAATTATATTGTGTGCCCCCCCCCATCCTCACTTTCCATCCTGTCCCCTGCAATGTCTGATTCCCAAATGTCTGTAATTTTCCATTTATTTCTGATGTTTTGAACTCAGGATTCTTTCTCAAGATAAACAATCATAAAATGACATCTCTATAAATTACTGGGGACCATTTATGCTAAGTGGCTTTAAAGAGTTGACCTCAGATCCTTCTATTAAAGAAGGCCTTGATTGGGGAAAATATTCTTATTACAGTTAACAACAAATGTCTAAGTACTACTATAAGCCTGCATGTTAAGTATTAAATACTGTATTGCAGCATATTATACTATGAACAGGCACTATGCTAAGCACTTTGCATGCATTTCTCACCTAGTTTTCACAACACCTCTTTGACAGAAGTACTAATAATTACCTATGTTTAAAGATGAAGAATCTGAGGCTCAGAAAGAGTAACTTACTGCTGGCTATATAGCCAGTAAGCACAAGAGCCATATCCATCTGACTCCAGAATCCTTGCCCTGGCCCATTACGTGACTCACAAAAGCACTTATCCTTGTGAGAAATGGGGAATGGGGGGGCCCAGGGAGGTACCAAATGCAATGAGACTAGGGAAGTAAAATTAACATGATCTTCTAAATTTTGCTTTGAGTCAGCCCTATTTGAAGAAGAACTTTGTTCCCATTATGTAGCAATAGATTATCTGCCATTTTGCATTGTGGGAATGAACCCTCCATTATCCAGGCTAATCTAGTTGACTGTAGAATGCTGCACACAGGCATTCCAATGACAGACAGCTAATTCAATCTTCTGTGTGAGGAAGATGCTACTGAACATCTCTTCAATGTTTTCTCCATAGCTTTTGATGCAGGGCACCTCACCTAAACCATGTCTATTCCTTCCTACAGCATCTGGAGAGGAAAAGTCACTGCGCATACCAGGAAGGGGAGAGAGGGGTGAGAAAGAAAAGGAGGAAAAATCATAAAAAAGTGCTACCCCCCCCTAAAAAATATACTCCCCCACAAAAATTAAAAATTTTTTTAAAAGTGAATCAGTGCAGGGTGATTATCTGATAGCTTGTGAATCAGGAAGAAATGAATGTTCATGGCCCACTGCTGAACAAAGAAAAGCATTTGGCTGTGCTATAGAAACCATATGTTCAAGTAGCAAAGGTGGAATTTTCCTACATCACAGAGTAAAGAGATGCTGAGTATTTCCTTCAGAAGTGAAACTTTACTGCTATAATCTACGCTGGGTCTGTAGCAGCAGCAGCATTTCATCATTAAGCAAAAATCCCATTATTTTTAGATTCCATAATCTCTAATTCCTCCAAAATCTCAAACCTATTCACTAAGACTTTTATACACATCAGTAGAAAACAACACTGATACCTACTGAAGGGTTGTTATGCCGTTTCTATGTGATAATCCAAGTCTCTTGTTTGGGTGAAATGGAAGCTGGGAATCAGACTATCAAACTCTTTGGGGTCATTCAGGAATTAATATATAAATGTCTAAATCCAAAATACAATTTTGGGTAAAATGTAGCAGTGATTTTCTCTCACTGAAGTAATAGTCTTGTTTGTTAGGAAGTATGGAAGTAGTAATTAATTGAAAAACTGTTTTAAGCTAAAATAGAGGGGCAGGATCTAAAATACTACACAATTAGAAAAATTTTTAAAGTAGAAGGTCTTTAAAATATACTAAGGAAGTCTAATGCCTTCATTCCAAATCTAACCATTTTTTATTCTAACCAATTTCCATTAAACAGGGAAAGGAGCAGGGAGGAGAGAACGCATTTGAAAAACTGCCAGAGTAAAAAATCCCATAATGAAATTTTGCTCATTCTTGGAGAAATGAAGTAGAATTAGATGCTTCAGTGGTGGTGAATTCCAGAATCTGGGTAGCTGCCAGTAAATGAAGCTTTCCCATAACGTCAAATGCAAAAACTATCCGATATCAACATATTGGGCTTGAGTTTTTAAATTCCTATTTCCTTACACCAAATTGTTTGAAACCTTTGTGATAAAAACTTCAATAAACTAGTGTTCCAAGCTTTTAATATTTTAGCCCCTTGAGCAAGCGTGTCAGATTAATCTCCAAATTGCAATGGACAGAGAGAACATTCAACCAGATTCCTAAACCCATGCCTCTCAAAGGATGTTAATAATGTAAGCAGTTTCATTGGCTATTAAGATGTCAAACTTTCCTAATTCTCAGCAGTATTACTATTGAACAGGGGGAGCGAGGAGAAGACCATTCTATCCTGAAAGGAAGGGATTTTGCTTATTATATCTTTGTATCCACTTAGCATGTAGCACATTGCCAGGCACACAGTAGGCATTTAACAAATACTTTTGGAATGAGTTGATAGATTGGCCTGGGGTGGGAAAGCAGAAATCTTGCTGAGAACAGCATTCAAAATCCTGGCACTGCTCAGCAACAAAAACCATTTCCAGAATTAGGGTTATCAAGGTACAGCAGGAATTTGAACATGTATCCTTCAAAGTGCCACCAAGAGGATTGTCTCCTGAGCTGTCGAGCAGCCCCCCAAGAGCCACTTACAGAGGAATGAGACTCCTCTCCAGCTTCACCGTGCCTGGAAAACTCCTGCCTTGCGTCTCCACGCCTGACTCCTCTGCCTTTTACTGGGTTTGGGTTTCCAACCACAGAACTTAAGTACAAAATTCCACCTTGCTCCTCTAGCCCAGGCCTCCTCGCCCCTCCAAGGTTGTCCAAGCATTGCTCAGAGGGACGCCACCCTGTGCTAGGCACAAGGAAGGAGACACACGAAGGCTCCGGACACATTTGAAGGTGAAAGGGGGGTGGGGGGGTACGAGAAGAGGGTGTAGGAGGAGACACTTCAAGACCAGGAAACTATCCAGAGCTTTCTTACCCCCTCTCAAAGCCTCCGCCCCAAGCGCTGGAAGCCGCTGGGGAACTACCTAGCCCCCCGCCCCCACCCCCGACAACGCGGGGCGGCCCAGGGCCGGGACGGGGAGAGAAGGGCGGGGACGGGGCAGGGAGCCGGACGGCGCAGCGCACAGTACCTGGTGTGGCTGTGGTTGCGGGGAAAGTCTTTTTTCTCCATGATGGCCGGCACGCAGTTGGTGAGCTCCGTCCAGTCGGCGTGCAGCCCGCAGCTCCAGCCCGTGGAGAAGCGGGAAAAGAGCCACGTCTCCTTCTTGCCGGGCCGGTGGCAGGTGCACTTCTTCTGGCCGGCTTTGCAGCTGCACGGCTGCTCCAGCCGGATGTTCTTCACCAGGTGCCGGCCGAACGTGGTGCCCCCGGTCTTCTGGATGTGCAGGAACACGATCACGTCGCGCCCCTTGATGTTGAAATCCACGAAGCGGGTCAGGTCCTTCAGGGTGAAGTTGAAGCGCGGCAGGNGAGCCGTTGTCCGGGGCCTCGGGGTCCGGCTCCTCTTCCTCCTCGCCCTCCTCCTCCTCCTCCCCCTCGGGGTCCCCCGGCTCTTCCTCGTCGTCTTCGGGCGCCACGGCCCCTCGGAGCCCCTCGGGCGGCCCCCGGGGCGGCGGGGACAGCTGGGGCCGCCGCTCGCCATCTG